ATCGCAGGATAGTGGCAATGGGTGCAAGAAAGACTCTTATCGTCTTGAATGGTACCTAGATTACTACCTATAAAGAATCATCGATGTTCCCCCTGAACCCGATCTATCACTTGTTGAGACCAAATCCCCACTGTTGCTACTTTGCACGCAGTCCACTTTTTGAGGCTTCCATTCTCATGTCTCCTATCGGTCCTTATCAGTTTTTATCATTTCTTTTTATCAATCGATAAGACTTTCCGTCCTGTCATATACAGGGGGGGCAAAAAAAAGACACTTCGACCGAGTCACATATCAGCAAAGTTTTCGCAGCCCAGACAGAGGACGTGGATACGAGTACCAGGGCGGAAGATACCCATGTTCCTCGATAAGCAGGAGCAGGCTCTCGCCCATCACCTTCATGTACACCAAAATATGAAGTCATCTCCAATCGCAGCCTGACTGGAGAAGACCTTTGGAATTCATGTCACCTCCAAACAGCTGCGAAACTTCTAGTATGGAGTCACCCATGGATACCTGGAGACCAGTACTCTCGATCTGGAAGACCTCCAACATCGAGCAGCTCCGACAACGTCGCTACGGTCCAGGATATCATCTTCACCGCAGTCGCCAAGGCGCGGGTTGATGGTATGGACCGGAAGTTCCTGGAATGGGAAGACCGATATTTCTTCGTGGACCCCGGACTGAAGTGAAGCTGAGTGTCACATCGAACAGCTTGAAGAGAATATCCTGCCATCTGTCGTCGCCTGCACCAACCTGGAAACTTCGTACTGCCACAGGATTGGGTGCTAGCACATGGAATCGAAAAACTCTCGCCTATTTGGAATCGAAGGGCGTTGAGTACCTAAGTGTGGCACCTGTCCTAAACCCCCTCGATTACCGGGTTTGAGCGGAGCTCAACAGGGTGGTCTACAGTGGCGGAGAAATCAACGACCTCGCTGAACTCAGGCACCGAATCACGGTCGCGTGGCAGAATCTCTCGATGGCGCTGGTCCAGAAGGCTGTGGCGGAGCATCATGATAGTGAACAACGTTGAACATATGTAGTGGTGGAAATGTCCAATCAGAATTTGATAAAGTGTAACTTACATCGCCTTGAAAGTCGGGAAAGAAAAATGTCTTTTTTTGCCCCCCCCCTGTATATTGCATCTTGAAAGTAGCGTCTTCCTGCTATTGTGGCCCTTACTACGAAACTTGGTGACCCTTCTCTTTCTGAAGATCCCCCTACCAACACTTACTAGCTATTATCACTTACCGTAAACCACCAATAATATTCCAATACATGCCAGCTCCTATATAACTCGTTGAAAACTGCAACTTTGATCCACGCTATAAACTTGTCACCCTCCCATTCTAACACCCCAGCTCTTATTATTTTCACCACTTCCTAGCACCCACCAGTAATGTGCCCGTCATGCGAACTCTCTGCGGTTAAATCACAGGAAATCATAAATTTGTGATAAAGAAATACTCAGATAAGTACTCAGATACAGTCAAATCATTTTTGTTGTGGCTAGGAGCATCTCTTTTTTGTGATTTGACCTTTTTTTCAGAAGGAACGACCATCGATGATGACTGCTCCAAAGCATGTGCATGGAGGCGACTGGAAGGACATGCTTCACATTACCAGTCAACGACATAAAAAAGTAGCTGTAAGCCGAATTTTGGCAATAAGTAAAGAAAGTGGCAACCAACGAAGTACAGCAAATGAGTGTTAAGCCCACTGGACATATTACGTTATCCAGCTATTACTGCCGTTCGCTGCGTATGAGGGGGTGTGGCAGGCCGGAGCGGTTCAACTTGGCGCTGAACCGTTTTCCAGCAGTTGTGGAGCTGGGAAACGGAGGCAGTTAGGAACAGTTGGGGAAAAACGACTGATACAAATGATATGACAGTTTTGTCCTTTACTGCTTGAACAACTACTAGAAACGAGTTTGGCGCCGTGCCAAACCCAAGTCCGCCATCATCCGCAGCAGACTTTGAGAAGTTTTAGATATTTGGCCTTCTCAACT